ATTGCATCCGAGAAACGAGAACCGGTGCTTTGTTTCTGGTTCAGCCGGGCTTGCCCAACGGGTTGCTCGACGGGTCCCGCTAGAATCCCGTCTCTCCGTCAGCCCGTTTCTCCGATACTCTGGTTCCAGCGGATGATAGTAGATACGCAACGCTTTCTATTAGTGACTCGGTATCTTTGGGCCGGTTATCGCTTCCTCTGTGCGAGATGCTCAGGGGGGACATCGTGCCTACGAAAGACGCTGGGTAACGGAAGCACATGAAGACGATCAAAGTTCGGATAGCCGACCTTCGGAAGGAAGAGTGGCAAGAACTGCCAGTCACTCGATGACCCCATTCTACAAACTTCAAATCTCTCTAGGCAGCCATGTTTACCCTTGTCCGTTGTGCCCTTTGCGGGAACGGGGGAGGGCGAAGGGAATTTCCTCCGAGCCAAGGACCGAAGCCAGGTCCAAAGTGTCGAGCTTTCAGCTGCCTTGCAGCTTGAAACGGTGTAGCCATCCAGTTCCGGATACGACATCGCAACTCAAAGATAGAGCGGTCTGCGGAGCCTCTTCCTACTGGGTCGTCAGCCCAGGGATATCATCCTCCGTCCTCCCGTTCCCGACGCTTCTACCGCTTCCGCTACAGCTGTCTGACTCTTTCACGTCGCCTAGCCATCCTCCCGCAGCAGGAAGTCAGCCGCCATTCACGCTTTCGACGGGAATAGGGAGACTAATATCTCACCTATGCATTATCTACTCCTTATTTGGAGAGCGACATCCCGCCGTCCCACTCTTCTCGCTAGCCCGAGATCGTCATTCCGCCTCTGCCCCTCCCTTCTGCTTCCTAACCCCACCTATCGCGGGTCGCCCAGTCCTCCGGCCTCATGAGAGACCGTGGGAAGCACACCGGCGTAAGGCGCTTCTGCCGATTTGCGGCTGATTCTCGAGATCGTCCGTTTGTCGTCTCCCTCGGAATATCACACCACGGGATGACCTGTGCGAGGCTGAGGCTCCCACGCTCAAAGGTTGAGGGTCTCGAGCGACCTCCCGGGTTGTCGAACCGCTACATGGTCTTTGTGCCATATAGTTCATCCGTGTATGCCGTGTCTGGGTTTCCAGAGACTTCCTCGCGTTATTCTGCGGCTGCTTCTGTCCTTCGACCTCGACCCTGCAGGTCCCGGTGTAAGCAGGGGGTGCTGGATGGAACACACACACAGGTCTGCAAGCACATCCCACACCGCACACGCATATGCGCACCCACGTATGCTCATACAAAACTCACATCGCAAGCAGACCAAGCTGGAGCCATGGCCTATAGGAAGGCTCAGAGGCTACGGTACGGGGTTCCAGAATGGCAGATCACGGAGGTTGCACAGGCTACGCATCTAAGTGAGTCTATGTCTCCGGCTAGCCCTTTTGCAAACTGCAGAAGAGAGGTTGAGACTGGAGGTATATAACCCTAAGTGCGGTGGCAAATCACTTTGGACTAAACCCGTCTTCGCCCTCTTTCTAGTCCTTCTCTCATTTCTTCGATATACTCGACTATTTCCTGTCACAGTCTTTGGGTTCTCACATCGCCACCGCCATTCTGTCCATCCATAACCCGCCTTTTCTATCTACCCTTCTTGTTCCTGCCAGTCTCGACGTCCCAAGCAGAATATGGAACCCAAGCCTGAGGTCAATGTTCCCGACACGACTCACGATGACACTATTTCCCTCATGATACTCGAGTACCTCTAAGCACTTCGCTGAATAGCAGCTCTATTATTCGTTATTCTACAAGTTCGGAAAGGGGATTAACCAAGCAAAAACAATACGTTCGGCTCAAACATCGCATTCATTTAGCCTGGGCCCCCAGCTCCGATATCAAACGGGGGTCCCGCCTTCATCATTAACCAAAATAAGCCTTTGCTTAGTTCCCCCTACGTTCGACTTTTCACACCTGATTCGCATTCGCCGCCCTCAACTCCGCGCGATTCGACGCCACAAAAGATCGCCCCGGGGTCTCGCAAGCATCCTCCCCCAAAACAAAAGAAAACAAAAAGGGGGGAGGGGGAGACGAGCAAAACTCCGTAGCCCAAAGCACTCAGCAGAGCCTCGAGCTCTGAGCATGGCTTGGCTAGGAAAAGAAACGATGCTCACCCAGGGCCCTCGTTGACCCTCGGTACACCCTCCCTATACGGCAATCCCCAAAAGGTCTCGGCGCCTCCGTCGAGATGTCTCGGACATGGGAGCTGGAGAAGGTTTCAGCCCCTGGCAGCTATTTAACCCTCCGCTCATCCATCCCCCTCGATGCCGGCGACTAGATCTCGGTAGTCGGACGCGCCATTGAGTTCGCGGCGTCCCCCCACACCCCATGTCCCCATCCCCCCTGGCACCGCTCCCAAGCCCTCGGCACATATCGCCACACACGCGCCGACCATCACGTGGCCCAGCTTTCGGACCTCGGGAACCAACTCATTCCACATGCGCAACGCGACTTGTCTTGTCCAGCAAACCGCTCGGGGCACATAGCATGCTCTTTCGCTTTCCCGGCATGGCGGATCGGGGTCCAACAGCGTAACCTAATCCAGTTTGCAGGAAAGGCGCAGAAACTATCCGCGCTCGCGGTGTGCGTCCCAATGTCATCGTTGCGTACAACCGTCACAAGTTGCTCGAAAGAGCTGCAAACTGCCCTCAACCCAGCCCACGAACAGGAACAATGCTCATTGTCCTTACAAGAGGCAGCAAGTTTGTTTATGAAATGATGTTCATTTCGTGCTCTTGAACCCCCCGCCAGACGATAGCAACAAATGCGAGTAGTTCGCATGTGTTGTTTTCGTCTATCCTCTTGTCGTCTATCCTCTTGTTCCCATCCCATTTTCGTCTCTCCATTACCCCCTCTCCCCCCCCACCGAGTTGCTCGGGGAGAAACCACTACGTTGCAACGAACCTGACCGGTGGATTAATAGCACTCCTGTTGACCTCTATCTGTTCTTGGAATACGCGCTCCCGGGCTCCGGAAGAGCTATTAGTCAATCTAGAGATTTAAGTCGCCAGAACAATTCTAAATCTATTTTTTTCGATTCACGAGGCCCGACTCCAACTTAGGTGTGGTCATTGTCAATCTTTGAAGACCACAGAGGGACAAATGTAGATATTTCTTTA